CAACTCAGGACACCATCGACAGGTGTGGGATCAACTCAGGGGGACACCAACAGGTGTGGGATCAACTCAGGGGGACACCAACAGGTGTGGGATCAACTCAGGGAAACATCAACAGGTGTGGGATCAACTCAGGGAAACATCAACAGGTGTGGGATCAACTCAGGACACCATCGACAGGTGTGGGATCAACTCAGGACACCATTGACAGGTGTGGGATCAACTCAGGGAAACATGGACAGGTGTGGGATCAACTCAGGACACCATTGACAGGTGTGGGATCAACTCAGGACATCAACAGGTGTGGGATCAACTCAGGACACCACTGACAGGTGTGGGATCAACTCAGGACACCATTGACAGGTGTGGGATCAACTCAGGGGGACACCATTGACAGGTCTGGGATCAATTCAGGACACCATTGACAGGTCTGGGATCAATTCAGGACACCATCGACAGGTGTGGGATCAACTCAGGGTGGGATCAACTCAGGACATCAACAGGTGTGGGGTCAACTCAGGACACCATCGACAGGTGTGGGATCAACTCAGGACACCATTGACAGGTGTGGGATCAACTCAGGGGGACACCAACAGGTGTGGGATCCACTCAGGACACCAACATTCCCCGGCAGCCTAAACCTCGTGGGCACCAAAGGAGGTTCCTCTGTGGAACTGATCCCTCTCCAAAGGGGGGGGAAACCCCCCCAAACCAGCCCAGAACTGACTTTTTTTGGGGCCAGGGCAGCGGGGAGGGGTGGGGGCGGGCGCTCACCGGGGCGACAGGGCACGCAGAGCCCCCGGGAATCCCGGACCAGCTCCATGGTGTCCTCGTTGACCTTCACCAGCCGGATGGGGTAGACGTTGGGCAGGATCCGGCTGTTGAACCCGCAGGCTCCCACCTGCCCAAGGACGAAAAACAACCCCCCAAAAACAACAACAACAACAAAAAAGCTGTAGGGATTCCACCTCCAGGTTTAAATCGGAAGGTCACCCCAAAATTCACCCCAAATGGGGTTTTTTTTTTCCAATTTTCTGCGCCGGCTGCCGAGGCAGCTCCGTTATTGGGGGGGGGGGGGGAAACAAAAAACAACGACCCAAATCAGAAAAAAAGCTGCAGGTTTGAAGGTGGTTTACAACATTTAAGGTTTGAAGGGGATTTACGACATTTAACCAACGGTTTGAAGGTGATTTACGACATTTAACCAAAGGTTTGAAGGTGTTTTACGACATTTAACCAATGGTTTGAAGGTGATTTAGAACACTTAACCAATGGTTTGAAGGTGTTTTTGGTTTGAAGGTGTTTTACGACATTTAACCAATTTAACCAATGTTTTTGAGGTGTTTTACGACATTTAACCAATTTAACCAACAGTTTGGAGGTGATTTACGACATTTAACCAATTTAACCAACAGTTTGGAGGTGTTTTACGGCATTTAAGGTTTGAAGGCGATTTACAACACTTAACCAACGGTTTGGAGGTGTTTTACGACATTTAACCAATTTAACCGATGGTTCGGAGGTGTTTTACAACATTTAACCAACGGTTCGAAGGTGATTTACAACATTTAAGGTTTGAAGGGGATTTACGACATTTAACCAATGGTTTGAAGATGTTTTACGACATTTAACCAATCTAACCGACGGTTTGAAGGTGTTTTATGATATTTAACCGATGGTTTGAAGGTGTGTTTGGTTTGAAGGTGATTTACGACATTTAACCGACGGTTTGAAGGTGTTTTACGACATTTAACCAATTTAACCGACGTTTTGGAGGTGGTTTACAACATTTAAGGTTTGAAGGCGATTTATGACATTTAACCAATTTAACTAATGGTTTGAAGATGTTTTATGACATTTAACCAATTTAACCGATGGTTTGGAGGTGATTTACGACATTTAACCAACGGCTTGAAGGTGATTTACAACACTTAACCAATGGTTTGAAGGTGTTTTGGGTTTGAAAGTGTTTTATGACATTTAACCAACGTTTTGAAGGTGTTTTACGACATTTAACCAATTTAACCGATGGTTTGGAGGTGATTTACGACATTTAACCAACGGTTCGAAGGTGATTTACGACATCTAAGGTTCGAAGGCGATTTACAACATTTAACCAATGGCTTGAAGGTGATTTACAACATTTAACGTTTGAAGGAGATTTACGACATTTAACCAACGGTTTGAAGGTGATTTACGACATTTAACCAATTTAACTGACGTTTTGAAGATGTTTTATGACATTTAACCAATTTAACCGACGGTTTGAAGGTGATTTCCACCATTTAACTGATGGTTTGAAGGTGATTTACGACATTTAACCAAAGGTTTGAAGGTGATTTACAGCATTTAACCAATGGTTTGAAGGTGTTTTAGAACACTTAACCAACGGTTTGAAGGTGTTTTTGGTTTGAAGGTGTTTTACGACATTTAACCAATTTAACCAATGGTTTGAAGGTGTTTTACACCATTTAAGGTTCGAAGGCAATTTACAACATTTAACCAATGGTTTGAAGGTGATTTACAACACTTAACCAATGGTTTGAAGGTGTTTTTGGTTTGAAGGTGTTTTACGACATTTAACCAACGTTTTGAAGATGTTTTACGACATTTAACCAATTTAACCAACATTTTGAAGGTGTTTTACGACATTTAACCAACGGCTTGAAGGTGATTTACACCATTTAACTGATGGTTTGAAGGTGATTTACAACACTTAACCAATGGTTTGAAGGTGTTTTAGAACACTTAACCAATGGTTTGAAGGTGTTTTTGGTTTGAAGGTGTTTTATGACATTTAACCAACGTTTTGAAGATGTTTTATGACATTTAACCAATTTAACCGACGGTTTGGAGGTGTTTTACAACATTTAACCAATGGCTTGAAGGCGATTTACAACATTTAAGGTTTGAAGGGGATTTACAACATTTAACCAACGGTTTGGAGGTGATTTACAGCACTTAACCAATGGTTTGAAGGTGTTTTTGGTTTGAAGGTGTTTTACGACATTTAACCAATTTAACCAACGGTTTGAAGGTGATTTACAGCACTTAACCGATGGTTTGAAGGTGTTTTAGAACACTTAACCAACGGTTTGAAGGTGTTTTTGGTTTGAAGGTGTTTTACGACATTTAACCAATTTAACCGATGGTTTGGAGGTGTTTTACGACATTTAACCAACGGTTTGAAGGTGATTTACGACATCTAAGGTTCGAAGGCGATTTACAACATTTAACCAACGGTTCGAAGGTGATTTACAACATTTAAGGTTTGAAGGTGATTTACAACATTTAACCAACGGTTTGAAGGTGATTTACACCATTTAACTGATGGTTTGAAGGTGATTTACAGCACTTAACCAATGGTTTGAAGGTGTTTTTGGTTTGAAGGTGTTTTACGACATTTAACCAATTTAACCAACATTTTGGAGGTGTTTTACGACATTTAACCAATTTAACCGATGGTTTGGAGGTGTTTTACGACATTTAACCAATTTAACCAACGGTTTGGAGGTGTTTTACGGCATTTAAGGTTTGAAGGCGATTTACAACATTTAACCAAAGGTTTGGAGGTGTTTTATGACATTTAACCGATGGTTTGAAGGTGTTTTAGAACACTTAACCAATGGTCTGAAGGTGTTTTTGGTTTGAAGGTGTTTTATGACATTTAACCAATTTAACCGATGGTTTGGAGGTGTTTTACGACATTTAACCAACGGTTCGAAGGTGATTTACGACATCTAAGGTTCGAAGGCGATTTACAACATTTAACCAACGGCTCGAAGGCGCTCACCGGGGCTCTGAGGGCGTTCAGGGGGCCGAGGTTACTCGAGCAAAGCGGGAACGTTCCGCTCGAACCGTTTCGAGCTCCTCCACCGAAACCCAACCCCCCCCCCTCACCTTGCCGTCCAGGTTGGCGATGCTGCAGTTGCACTCGGTGGCCCCGTAGAACTCGCCGATCTGGCGCAGGCGGAAGCGCCGCGTGAACTCCTCCCACAGGTGGGGCCTCAGCCCGTTGCCCACGGCCAGGCGGACGCGGTGCCGGCGCTCGGCCTCGCGCACCGGCTGGCTCAGCAGGTACCGGCAGATCTCCCCGATGTACTGGATGATCTGGGCGGAAAAACGAGCGGTCAGGAGTCAGGAGTGATCCTCGGAAACGGGCCCCTCAGGTCAGGAAGGACATTGAGGGGCTGGAGCGGGTCCAGAGAAGAGCAACGAGGCTGGTGAAGGGACTGGAGCACAAGTGCTGTGAGGAGAGGCTGAGGGAGCTGGGGTTGTTTAGTGTGGAGAAGAGAAGGCTTAGAGGTGACCTCATCACTCTCTTCAACTACCTGAAGGGAGGTTCTAGCCAGGTGGGGGTTGGGCTCTTCTCCCAGGACAAGGGGACATGGGCTCAAGCTCTGCAAGGGGAGGTTTAGGTTAGATGTTGGGAAGAAATTCTTTACAGAGAGGGGAATCAGGCATTGGAACGGCCTGCCCAGAGAGGTGGTGGATTCACCATCCCTGGAGGTTTTTAAGCAGAGATTGGACGTGGCCCTTAGTGCCATGATATAGTAATTGGAGTTGGATCAGGGGTTGGACTGGATGATCTTGGAGGTCTTTTCCAACCCAATCTATTCTGTGATTCTACGATTCTATGAAAGCGGGGAGAGCAACCCCGGGGTGGGCTTGGGGTGTAGGAAGCGGAGATGAAGAAGGTGTGAGGACCACGTGGGGATGGGGAAGGTCTGCAGGGTGAAGACACTCCTGAAACCCCTCCCGTGGAAAGTGTGGGAAAGACCAGAAAGTTTCGGAACTTGTTAAGTTACTGACGATGTTAAACGCTCATCGCCTTTTTCCCTCTTTTATGCACATAAAACATCGTGTAATAGTTTTTGTTACTTCTATTCCTAATCTCCTTTTCCCCGTCAATTCAAATTTGCTGTCGGGGAGAGGGGGAAGTGGAGACGAAGAAGGTGGAAAGATCATGTGGAGATGGGAGGGGCTGCAGGGTGGAGACACCCCTGAAATGAAGGGTTGGACACCCCTGAAATGAAGGGTTGGACATTCCTGACATCAAGGGATGGACATTCCTGAAATCAAGGGTTGGACATTCCTGAAATCAAGGGTTGGACATTCCTGATATCAAGGGTTGGACACCCCTGAAATCAAGGGTTGGACATTCCTGACATCAAGGGTTGGACATTCCTGACATCAAGGTGGATCAAGGGTTGGATTTGATGATCTCGGAGGTCTCTTCCAAAAGGGGATGGAGAACATGGAGAAGGGGATGGAGAACATGGAAAAGGGGATGGAGAACGTGGAAAAGGGGATGGAGAACGTGGAAAAGGGGATGGAGAACGTGGAAAAGGGGATGGAGAACATGGAAAAGGGGATGGAGAACGTGGAAAAGGGGATGGAGAACGTGGAGAAGGGGATGGAGAACGTGGAGAAGGGGATGGAGAACATGGAAAAGGGGATGGAGAATGTGGAAAAGGGGATGGAGAAGTCAGAGAACACGGAGAAGGGGTTGGAGCGTGAGGAGGATCAGGAGAACTTGTGAGGAGCAGCTGAGGGAGCTGGGGGAGGGTGGGGTTATCCCGGGGAAAAGGAGGCTCTGGGAGAAAATTCTGGCTCCCAGGAATTCCCTGGAAGGAGGTGGGAGCCGGGTGGGGGTCGGTCCCTTCTCCCCAGGGACGAGAGGACGAGCCAGGGGAGCTCCAGGTTGGATTTTGGGGGGGAAAATTCCTGTGTGGGAAGGGTTGGGAGGGGGCAGGGGGTCCCAGGGGAGGGGTCAGGGTGGGAGCCGAGGGGTTGTGTCCCCCCTGGGCGCTCCCAGCACCCCTCACCGTGCAGCGGTACTGGACGCAGTCGTCCCAGAAGCGGCTGGCCGAGAACTTCCTCCTGATGACCACGGTGAGCCCGTGCAGCAGGCACTGCCCCACCCCCATGATGTTCCCTGCAAAACACACGGGAAAAACGGCCTGGAAAACGCGGGGAGGGAGCGGGGGGAGGGAG